AGGTTGTTGGAAGCAGAACTCTCTCGCCAATGGGACGCGGAGGAGATATACTGGCAGCAGAAATCAAGAGTAAAATGGCTAAATAAAGGTGATCAGAATTCTGCCTACTTTCATACGGTCACTAGTGCGAGGCGGAAGAGGAATTTTGTTTCTAGGCTTCGAAATGAGGAGGGAGAGGGTGGCTTCTATTGCCTCGAAAAGAGGAATTTTGGGTCACTGAGGAATCCGGGAAGGTTTCTTTTACCAGACCCTGTTTACCTCGGAATCTCAAGTACCTAATATGGCTGAGAGGGTGGCGAATCTGCCGATTGCCCAAAATGTTACTCCGCAAATGAATGCGCACTTGACGGCGGAGGTTTTACCTAGTGAGGTTCGGAATACGGTCTTCTCTATGGGATCGAAGCAGGCCCCGGGGTCGGATGGATTCACGGGAAAGTTTTTTTAAAGCTTTTTGGGATATTGTGGGCACTTCGTTGGTAGAAGCAGTAATTTCCTTCTTTACATCGAGCCGGATGCTGCGTAGCTTTAACCATACCTGGCTCACTTTGATCCCTAAAGTGGATTCAGTGGAAACAATTAGAAAACTGCGGCCGATTAGCCTCTGCCAGTTTGTTTACAAGGTGATTACTAAAATCATGGCTAAACGGCTGGCTAGTTTCCTCCCGGAGATTGTGTCGGAGGGCCAAAATGGGTTTATCAAAGACCGACAGATTATTGATAACATCCTTATTGGGCATGAACTAATGCATTATCTGAAAATAAAAAAGCAAGGGAAGAAGGGGTACATGGCTCTGAAGGTTGACATGGAAAAGGTCTATGATAGAGTCGAATGGCCTTTCTTACTTGCAGTTTTGGATAAGATGGGTTTTAGTTCAGTCTAGCAAGGATGGATACATGAATGTCTTAGGTACTCCTCCTTCTCGGTTCTCATGAATGGTACGCCTTCGAGATATTTCACTGCCTCTAGGGGCCTTCGTCAGGGAGATCCGCTCTCTCCCCTATTGTTTGTACTCTGCACGGAGGGGTTTGCAGCCCTTCTCCGAAAGGCGATCACGGAGAAAAAATTAGAGGGGGTGAAAGTAGCTCCTCGTGCTCCAAGAATCTCGCATTTGTTCTTCGAAGATGATTCTTATTCATTCTTGCGAGGGTCGTTGCTGGAATGCGAGAATTTAATTGAGGTGTTGAATGATTATGAGGAAATGAGTGGTCAACGCGTTAATTTGGAGAAATCGGCGGTCTGTTTTAGCAAGAATATTGCCTTTCCTGATCAGGAGTTCTTGGCCACAATTCTAGGGGTTGGGGCGGTGGGGGTCCACGATAAATATCTGGGGCTTCCAACGCTGGTTGCCAGATCCAAAACATCTACTTTCATATATTTGGAGGACAAACTCCTAGAGCGGCTTCAGGGGTGGAAGCGAAGGACGTTGTCGTGGGCGTCTAAGGAAACTTTAATTAAATCCATAGCGTTGGCTCTTCCACTTCATGTTATGTCCTGTTTCCGGCTTCCCCTGGCTCTTTGTCGACTTTTGGATAAGCATGTGGCGCGTTTTTTATGGGGAGCGGAGGATGGGAGTCCTAAGATTAGGTGGGTATCCTGGCGGAATATGTGCAGGAGTAAGCATGATGGGGGGATGAGATTTCGCCAGTTCGAGCATTTCAATCAGGCTCTTTTAGCTAAGATAGGTTGGCGTATCCTCAGTGAATCTCAATCGCTTATAGCCCAGGTCTATAAAGGCAAGTATTTCCCTCAAGGGTCTTTTCTGACTGCGACTGCTAGATCACGGCCCTCTTGGGGGTGGCAAAGTATCCTTTATGGGCGTCAGTTGTTGGAAAGAGGGTTGCGTTGGCAGATTGGCAATGGTCGATCGGCCTCCCTTCTCCAGTCTAACTGGATTCCTCGATACCAGTTAGAGCCCCCGTCCTATAATCCCCGGGTCTTGCCTGAGGGGGGTGATCCCTTGGTGGCGGAGGTTATTAGTGAGGGGGGAGGGAGGTGGTCTGATGGAATGCTCAATCAATGGTTTGACCCACACACCTGTAAGGCTATTAAAACTATTCCCCTCCCGCGTCAGGATGTACCTGATAAGCTTATTTGGCATTTTACGGCTGATGGGATCTTCTCGGTTAAGACGGCCTATCATTTGGCAGTTGATTTGGACAGGAGGAGGAGGGTGGCGTTCCTCGGATAGCTGGATGGATAAATCGAGCTGGATTAAAGTTTGGGAGGCTAAAATCCCTCCGAAATTGAAGGTATTTGTTTGGCAAATTCTTAATCGGGCTCTGCCAACCATGGAGGCGCTTATTGAAAAGAAGGTCCCGGTGCTACCTCGATGTCCAGATTGTTGGGACGGCCCAGAGACAATGGAGCACTTGTTCCTTTATTGTTCGGTGGCGCGAGCTCTCTGGGATTATTCGGGGCTGGAATACTTGGGAGAGGGTTTGCCTCGGCAGACTTTCCCTTTGTTTCTCAAACGTCTGCTGGGTTTGATCCATCATTCTGAGATGGTTATGGCTGTGGTTGCCATCCTTTGGCGAATCTGGAGATCTCGGAATTGGGTGGTCTTTGAAGGCAAGCAATTTGGGATCCCGGTGCTCATGCGACAGTTTAACCAACAGTTTGAGGAATGGATGGATCTTCCGGCGGATCAGGCACCTAGGGTTCATCCCCCGATAATGAACGCAACATCACATTTGGATGGTGCCCATTGGGTTTGCATGTGGGACGGGGCTACTAAGAGTGGGTCTCATTCGGCTGGTGGGATGGTTCTTTTTGACCCAGCTCGGATTCTTTTTCTGGCTAGAGGGGTCCAGTTCGCTCAAATAGATGATCCTGCGGTGGTAGAATTGCTTGTGCTTAGGGAAGCCATTATTTGGTGTATGGAGCAAGGTTTGTCGGAGGTCTGCTTTGAGGGCGATGCGAAGGTGATAATCGACAAAATTAATCTGGCCAACACAAGAGATAGCCGGTTGGGTGCTGTTCTCGAAGAGATTGTTCATTATTTTCGTGTTCAGCCTGGCTTTAGTGTGCGTTTTGTAGGACGGGAGAACAATAGGGTAGCTCATTTGGTAGCTAGGAAAGCCCTCTCTTTGTACCCGACTATGAGTCATTTTTTTGATTTCCAGACCTGGCTGGGTTCCAGGGTGTAACTATCTTCTGATTTGATCAATATATGATATCTTTTGACAAAAAAAGAAAAATTTGAAAGCTTCTTCCTTTCAATTAAGTTTCTTCACTCTCCACTCGATAACATCAACTTCATTATACACAATTAGAAAGAAAAAATTAGACTTATCTCCACAAACATAAATAAGATTAGTTGTTTAGAATATTAAATATACATAGAAATTAATTATATGGGTGTGGGCGGGTACCCATGGGTCGGGTTTACCTAAACCCAAACCCAACCCGGTGAATAGTGAACGGGTTTAAACCCAAACCCGGCCCAAAACCCGTAAACACGGATTTTACCCGCGTTGACCGGGTTGGGTCGGGTGGGTACCCGTGGGTTCGGATTTTTTTGCCATCCCTACTTGCAGTCGCAGACCATTTGAAAACCTGTACGCTCGGCCCTTCAAAAGTCGGGTTGAAAGCCCAATTATGCAATCATCAGCCTGTACGCTCGGCCCGTAATCCTTTGGGAGGCCGAAACAACTTCCTCAACTCTGAGAATCGAGCATGGGAGCTGTTACGGATCATGCGAATGTCCTTTCCTATTCCTATAGGTTATATCCATAGCTAGTAAAATATGGTACTGGAAAGTTATGTATAAAATATGTACGGGTATTTTACTTTGTCTCTAAACTAATGTTACGTTTAATAGTATGTTAATAATCATAAATATATAAAATTAATTATTTTAAAAATAAATAAATATTTAAATAATAGTCAATTTAATAATGTAATTCATTAAATACGGATATTAAAAGTGTTATACGGGTTTTATACGTGTTTAGTACGGGAGCCATCAAATGAACAGAAAAAAATGAAACGGCTTGACAATAATACGGATTGGAAGTTTTAAACGGATAAAATACGTACGGGTATATATATGTATATTAAACGGAGTATTTACTAACTATGCCTATATCTAGTTTGGTCTGAGAGTTGATCCAAATGTTAATTGAACACAAAATATTTACAATGGGTAAATTTGTAAGATTACTAAAAACGTTCACGTTTGGTTATTAAAAATATTTAATTTCATTCGTGATCACTAAAATTAGTTAAAATTTTAACTTTGGTCGCTCTCCGCCCAACTCTGTTAACTTTTATTTACGTGGAAATCAACTCTTATAGTCGACCGTTAAATGTGTAACATGAAAATTAAAAAAAAAATAAAAAAAATAAAATTTAATTTCTGAATTTTAAATTTTCCACCTAGCTCATTTCCAATCTCCAACTTTGACATCTTTCTTCCTCCAGAAAATCGTTGTTGTTGAGATTTTGTTGTTTGCAAGAGCCGTTGTGGAGATTGCCAGATTTTCGACATTTTCTTCCTCTAGAAAAATTGCCACCACTGTGGACCTGAGAGTTGCAAATGGACAGATCCAAGTCTCTACCTCTTTCTTCCACCAGCAAAATCACCACAGTCATGCTCGTCCATATGGCGGCTATCTCTATTGGAATAATGATTCGAATCACCAACAGCAGCAGCTCGGACTTCATTTGATCACTCTGCATCAAGCTGCTGCTGTAAGGAAGAAGGCAAGCTTCGCAAGAAGTGCATATCAAGTCCAAGTCGGAACGACGCCGTTCTTCTCCTATCCAGAAACAGGGATTGAAGTGAAACGTTGCCGTTCTGTTGCGTGAAGAAGCGTGGAGCTCCAAGCCGCTGCCGTTTCAATTAATCTCTATTAGAAGTTAGTTAGCCAGCTGTATAGGTTTTATTGGTTAGTTTGAGTTGTTAGTTTTTACTGTAGATCAGCCGTTGCTAATCAACTTTACCTTCTCTGTACAGCTTTGTATACAAATGAAAATGCAAAACCAAGGAGCTCTCAGTTGAGAATCCTTCCACAAAACCCTATCTATTCAATTTCTTCTCATGGTATCAGAGCCTGGTTGCTCTATACCTTAGATCTCAACCAAATTTTGTTCGATCTTAGCGATTCCACTTCACAATGTCCACTCCTCCTCCCGGCGTCGATGGCCATGTCTCTGATGGCTCTGAATCGTCTGAATCTGGAAACCCAGGACAGACTTCCACCACTCCGCCGCTGATTCCAGCACAGCCGCTTCAAACCCTACCACAGGTACTGCCTCAGGTACCTAGATATGAGGATCCATACCTCAATCCTTACTACCTTCCTCCTCACGATGGAGGCTTGACCACCATCATCTCCATGAAGCTGACTGACCAGAATTATGATCTCTGTTCCTCAACCCACTGATCCAATTTGGCAATCTCGGCATCGCTGTGACAGTACAGTGCGATGCTGGATATACAACTCTCTTTATGATGATATTGCGAATAGTGTGGTGCCCTTTCGTGTTGCTAAAGAAGTATGGGACAATCTGCGAGACAGATTTAGTCAAGAAGACTTTATTAGGGTGTATGAGCTCAAAGAGCAGGTTTCTAAGCTCGTCCAAGGAGATCTGACTGTTTCACACTATTACACAGCCCTCACCACAAAGTGGCAAGAATACAAGATGTATAGACCACTTACCTGCTGCCCTTGCCCTAATAGTCCATACCACACTATGACCAGATATCAGGAAGAAGATTTTATCATCAAATTCATGCAGGGGTTGAATGATACTTACCAATATGCACGTACCCATGTGCTTATGAGTGCCCATTTACCCAGCATTGAGTCTGTTTTCAAGGAGATGGTTCAACTTCAGCGACAACTCAAGGGTTCTGCTACTAAGCCTGGAGTGAATTCCTTGGCATTGTTAGCTCAAGGGTCTTCCTCCTCTGGATGCCCCAATACCACTGCACGAAATCCTCGTGATTACACCACTGAAGGGAAGAAGTGGTGCCGTTATTGCAAAAAGGAAAACCATACCATCCAGGAATGTTATAGGTTGAAGAACAAGAAATCTGGGGAGGGTACAGATGGTACTCCCTTTGCTGGTGCTGTTGATGTTTCAGGTTTTGATGGAAGTAGCAATGCTAGCTCTGCAGCAACAGGATCAGAACCATCCTTGAGTCCCCTGCTTACTCCTGATCAGTTTGAGAAGCTCAGGATTCTTCTGAATGGGTCTCCTTCTCCATCACCTTCACCTCCCAGCTCACCCATTCTGCCTAATGTCAATGCAGTGATCATGGCACCACCACAATCACCTCATTTTGCAGCCAGCACCTCAGGTACTACTTCCTTGTCTCCAACCTTGAATGAAACTGTCTGGGTGTTAGATACAGGTGCTACAGACCACATAATCTGTAACCTGTCTACCTTCATCAAGTATAAACCTATGGAAGGTGTTAATGTGTCTCTACCTAATGGACACCGTGTGAAAGCCACTCATATAGGCATAGTCAGGTTACCTTGTGGATTGTTCCTTACCCAAGTCCTCTTCATTCCATCCTTTACTTACAATCTTGTTTCTGTAAGTAAATTAACCAAAAATAACCTTGTCTCACTAGTCTTCCAATCCAATTTTTGTACCATTCAGGACCTTATTACTCGGAGAAAGATTGGTTTAGCCCAAGTTGATGAAGGCCTCTACCTCTTTTCTGATTCCAAGCTTCAAGAATTTCATCCTCCAGTTCCTTCTTCCAGCTTTGCAGCAGGAGTTTCCAGTTCCAAGCCTTCTACTTCTGATATTTGGCATGCCAGACTAGGCCATCCCTCTTTTGTCTAGGATGCAAATTATTAAACATGTTTGTAATGATGTTGTTCTTCCTTCTTCCAAACATTGTGAGACTTGTCACTTGTCCAAACAAAACGGCTTCCATTTCCCAACAGCACTTCTTTCAGCTCAGATGCTTTTTCTTTACTTCACGTTGATATCTGGGACCCTTGAATACCATGTCTAGGGAAGGATACTCCTATTTCCTTACCATTGTTGACGATCACACTAGAGCTGTTTGGGTCTTTTTAATGAAATCAAAATCTGAAGCCGACCCTCTTTTATAATCCTTATGTATAATGGTTAAAAACCAATTTTCCAAATCCATCAAAACCATTCGCACTGATGAGAGTCAGGAATTCCACATGGCTGACTTTTATCGCAGTCATGGCATCACTCATGAGATGAGTTGCGTTTACACAGCCCAACAAAATGGCCGCGTTGAGCGCAAACATCAGCATTGCTCAACGTGGCTCGTTCACTCAAATTCCAGTCAGGACTCCCCCTTTCCTTTTGGGGTGACTTTGTCCTGCACGCAGCCTATCTCATTAATCGAACTCCAACACCTCTTGTTAATCACAAATCACCCTATGAAATGCTTTAGCATGTCCCTCCTGATTACATGAGCATGCGTGTCTTTGGTTGCCTGGCTTATGCCACTGCTTGGAGGTCATAAGACTAAATTTGCACCTCGTGCCAGGAAATGCATCTTCCTTGGCATTCCCACTGGTATAAAAGGCTTCAAACTCCTTGACCTTGACTCTGATCAAGTCTTTGTCACTAGAGATGTCCTCTTTCATGAAGCCATTCTACCATTCAAACAATCCCAGTCTACCAATCCTGCACCTCTTCCTCCTGATCATTCTCCTTCACCTGTCGTGGATGATGATGTTTTTCCATTCTCATATACTGACATTCCTACCACTTCCTCTCCTCCTGCTGCTAGTCACTATCCTTCTGACTCTGACAGTGAGAATGATCAGTCTCCTCCTTCACCTAGTCCCTATCATCCCTCACCTAGTCCTTATCATTCCTCACCCAGTTCCTATCATTATCACTCTTCTCCTTCCTCCATTTGTTCCACCTCTGCCAAACCTGTAGTTCCCCCTAGGAAATCCACAAGGGTACCTGTCTTTCCTAAGAAATATGATGACTTTTATGTTGGATCAGTCCAAGTCAGTATGTCCCATCTCACTCCTCCTCAACAACATTTTGCTCTTACTCTGCTTACCAATGAGGAGCCAGTGAGCTATGCTGAAGCTGCCAGAGATCCCAGATGGAATGCAGCCATGAATGAAGAGTTTAGTGCACTTCAAGCTAATGACACATGGGACATTACTGACTTTCCTGGGGGGGGGGGGGGGGGGGTTAAGCCAATTGGCTCCAAGTGGGTGTACAAAACAAAGTTTAAATCAAATGGAGCTTTAGAAAGGTTTAAGGCAAGGGTAGTTGCTAAAGGCTATACCCAAATATATGGGATTGATTATTGTGACACTGACACCTACTCACAAGTGGCTAAGATCACTTCAGTTAAGATGTTACTGGCTGTTGCTTCTGTTCAGAAATGGCATTTACACCAAATGGACGTTAATAATGCATTTCAGAATGGAGAGCTTGATGAAGTGGTCTATATGGAATTGCCACCTGGATTAAGGGATCTACCTGAGTACAAAGGGAAGGTTTGCAGACTCAAGAAGTTTCTTTATGGGCTGAAACAAGCCAGTCGAATGTGGTATGCAAAGTTGACTGAGTCTTTACTCAGTAATGGTTTCAAACAGTCTCTTGCAGACTATTCCATCTTCCTTTCCACTGTTCAGGGGCATTTGGTTGTTTTAATTGTCTATGTTGATGATATAGTGGTTGGCAGTGCTAGTCTTGATGCAGTGAAGGAAGTTAAAAGGATGCTGATGTCCTTGTTTAAGATGAAAGATCTGGGAGAATTACAGTACTTCCTTCGCCTGGAAGTTAGCAGAACAGATAAGGGAATTCATGTTTGCCAACAAAAATATTGCATTGAACTCTTAAAGAAGGCTGGTTTTGATGAGTGCAAGCCAGCAAAGACCCCATCAAGTGTCAAACAAGTGCTCTCTGCCTCAGATGGGGAACCTTACCTTGATATTCCCTTGTTTAAGCATCTCCTTGGAAAACTTCAGTACCTGAACAGCACCAGACCTGACATAACATTTGCTATGCAACAGTTGTGTCAGTTTCAAGATGCTCCAACAACTGTACACAACAAGTAATTACATAGGGTATTCAGGTATCTTAAGAACTCACCAGGACAAGGCCTATTCTATCCCAGTGATTCTTCTATGCAGTTAAATGGTTTTAGTGATTCAGATTGGGCAACTTGCCCGGATTCCAGAAGGTTTATCACATGGTTTTGCACATTTCTTGGTAAAGGGTTGATCAGTTGGAAGAGTAAGAAGCAGAGCACTGTATCTAAATCATCTTCTGAGGCAGAATACAGAGCTCTAGCCCACCTTAGTTGTGAAGTTCAGTGCCTAGTCAGATTACTTGCTGACTTTGGCATTGATCACCCTTTTCCTGTTATGGTGTTCTGTGATAACCAGTCCGCCATTCATATTGCAAGAAACCCTGTGTTTCATGAACGGACAAAACACATTGAAGTGGATTGTCACGTTATTAGGGAGAGATTGACCAATGGGTTGATCAGTTTACATCATTTGTCTACTGTTCATCAGCTTGCAGATGTATTTACCAAAAGCTTGGGCATAGATCATTTTAACCTTCTACTGTCCAAGCTGGGAGTTTCTGGAAGACCCTCTCCAGCTTGTGGGGGGGTTTTGGAATGATGATTCGAATCACCAACAGCAGCAGCTCGGACTTCATTTGATCACTCTGCATCAAGCTGCTACTGTAAGGAAGAAGGCAAGCTTCCCACGAAGTGCAGATCAAGTCCAAGTCGGAACGACGCCGTTCTTCTCCTATCCAGAACAGGGATTGAAGTGAAACGTTGCCGTTCCATTGCATGAAGAAGCGTGGAGCTCCAAGCCGCTGCCGTTTCAATTAATCTCTGTTAGAAGTTAGTTAGCCAGCTTTACAGGTTTTATTGGTTAGTTTGAGTTAGTTTTTACTGTAGATTAGCCGTTGCTAATCAACTCTACCTTCTCTGTACAGCTTTGTATATAAATGAAAATGCAAAACCAAGGAGCTCTCAGTTGAGAATCCTTCCACAAAACCCTATCTATTCAATTTCATCTCAATCTCAAGAAAGCGTCGCCCGCAAATCTCCGTTGTTGGAATCATAGACGAGAGACGACCACTCGCTGGGAGGAGATGAAATGGATTCTCTACCACCAGAATCATGGACGATCACTCACAGGTGCCATTCTTCCCGTACCACTCACCGCCTTTGATTCATCTTAGAGAAAATGACGAACACTTCGTCTTCCTAAGGTTTTGCAGCCCCTACCACCAATTTGTTGTCGAAGCCGGCGACAACCCGATAACCGACGAGGCGTCATTACTCGTCGCAGAATCCAGCTTCGATTCAAGCTTCAGCTGCTGCGTGGGTCGTTTGAGTATGGTGGCCGGTGGAGGAGTTGTTAGACAAAAGATTTGAATGACTTGCTCAACAAGTTTATGAACCGTTTCTGCCCACCTTCCAAGATGACAGAATGGCAAAAGAAGATAAATCACTTCTCCCGAGAGGAGGATAGGACTTTGAGGGCTGCACGGGAAAGATACTCTGGCCTTTTCTTCTAGTGTCCATACTACGGGTTTAGAGAGAAGTTCCAGATTGAGAACTTCTATGACGGTCTCCATCTAAAAGATTAGATTCTCATTCACTCATTTTGTCAAGGGAACATGCTCAACAAAACTCCGCCCGAGATGAGCGCATTGTTTGAAGATATGATCGTTGATAACATTATATTTGCACATGTTTATAACTTCACCTCTTGATTGTTTTGGATTGATTTGCGCTCTTCATGGCTGATGTTATGCTAGGTTGTGTTTTCTTGTTATATTTTAGGTCCTAGAAAGTAAAGGGAGGCATAGGCGCACGTTTTGGGTCAATCGTAGGTCGTTTGCCCACTCAAAAGGCACTCAAAAGTGGAGCCGAGAAAGAAACACGAACAGGGGAAACACGAACATCCTCCAAGCATGATAGAAAGTCTCTCATTCCTTTTGTTGAAATTCAGTAATCTAATCTTTAAACTCTTATATTTTCCATGGTGGGAAATTACTCCTCGATGATGCTTATGAAAGAGTCTCCCAACTGGTGAAGGTTCCTGGTGGATGGTAGTCGAGCCACTTCTTTGCTCCTCCTCCAAGTGAGAATGGAAAACTTGTAGTCAAATACCATCTTTGGTAGTATCATCTCTTGGTATGGAATCAACAATCTCTAAGAATGTCTTCATGTGGTGCATCAGATCATCATTCCTGTCTTCAAACTTCCCTGCTTGTTAATGACGGACAACCAACCGTCGCTGACCCCGCTTATTAATCAGAAAAGACATTTTGAAAATTGCATCAAGTAGTACCTTTTAAGGAGTGCTACCTCTTTATAATCCAACCACAAAAATCGAAGTTAAAGAGGATCAACTATAATTATAATGCATCTGCAAGCCAAACTTGAAACACGAATAAGATATGCTGGATGGTATGCACAGATGAACACAACTCACTCATTCTCTAAACCTGTCTTTCCCACTCCATCCTCTTTAACTTGATGGTATCCACAAATCAAAGTCAGTCCATAAACAATGAGGATTAACCTTAGTCTATTAAGTCATATGATTGCCATAACTAAATTATCTAAAATATACAAAATTAGTTTAGCACTTTGACAAGTTAGTTTTAAATTTGTATAACTACTATAATAAAATATTTTATAAGTACAAATGTGAGAAATAAACAAATTGCATAAAAGTTTAAATTTTTTTTAAATTAGTGTAATAAATAAAGTATAAGTTGAAACGAGTAAAGAGTAAGTAATAAAATGTGTTGGCATGAACAACTCGCAACCTGATCCGCTGGCGATCCGCCATACCCTTAACTCGAACATCCCATAATTTGATTGACTAGCACCCCAATTTACCTGTACCCGATCAACCCGTAGCCCGACTGATCCACAACCAAATAAACCAAAACTCGACCTATCCGATTTAACTAGGGCGGGAAAACGGTGCGGTCTGGTCCAGACCAAACCATATAGACGGTGTACGGTCCAGACCAAGAGACCAGACCACGCCTGTGCGGTCTGGTCCGGTACGGGTTGGTCCATATAGATCACATCGAACGAAAAATGAACACTTTTTTTAAGTCAACCACACTAAAAATTGAGTCAGTAACTGAGAAAAATAATTGTTTATTTTTCCTTAAAACATAAAATCCAACATGCATGAATAATTTTGACACCCTAAATCTTAGTAAATAACAAAGATACAAGTCGAAGAATCCCAACTCGCACCATAACGTCATAAACATTAACATAATGTCATATGCAGACACGAACGTCTCTACTCTCTAGTTATATGTGGTTGTGAATGAAGTAGGGGACAAGATTCTCAAAATTAAGGTTGAGACTTGAGTCTTGTTGGGGGACTTGGGTGAGTGCTCGAGTGGGCTACTAACATGTATTGGGAAGTTGGCTAGATCCACGGTTTGGTCCGATAAACCGCGGTCTAGATCTGACCAGACCAAAAAATCAAAACTTTGTATAATACAAACCATGGACCAAACCAGAAAATTCTTCACGGTCTACGGTCCGTACCAAACTGTGCTGTCCGATTTGGTCCACGGTTTTTCAAACGGTCTAGTCTATTTTACTATTCCTAGATTTAACCCAACCCAAACTCCCCCCAATTGACACCAGTACTCTTACCAAATAGTAATCGATTTTCTCAATATACGTGAGCTGTATATATAAAAAACTTCCCCGGCTCTTAACGAATCAACACAAGGCAAAAAAAAAAAAAAAATAATAATAACTAGTGTGGCCCCGGCCAGTTGGCCGGAGAAAGGTGAGGTATGAAATTTGATAATGTAATGAGGTGTTTAATGCCAAATTCTAATTATTCTTTACTTTTACATTTTCTATTTGAAAATAAAAAATAGTGAAAGAAAAGAGATGACTGCAATTCGCCATTTGCACATCACTTATTCGGGAATAAAACTATAGAAATTCAAAAGGAACTGAAAATGTTTAGGATCGTTTTAATGTTTAAAATAACCAAATAGATCTTTCTATTTAATTTTTTACTAACAAATACCAAACGATTCCCTATAAAATACATTATAATTTGATCATTATGATATCAAATAATTATATAATATATATTTAGTGAATGTTGTATGTTTAAGGAGTTGTTTGCAGGTTTGCTGGCTAAAGCTTACCCTAGGATTCCAACTGATAACTGGGACTCTGAACTGCAGTGGGCTTCTACTCAGTTTAAAGGAAGAGGTGAGGTCTCAGGTGGCTAGGGAAACTTGGAGAGCTATAGTCAGTTTTATCTGGCGAGAAAGATGTTTGCAGAAGTTTGGTGGTGGTAAGAAGCAGTAGTTCCTGGAGATTATTGTCAGAATTAAGAATGATATTGTTGTTTTGTTTCCAGGTGAAAACCTGAGTAGTTTCTGGTCTTGATCAGCTTTGGCTCTTGGTTCATAGTAGTTTCCTTTGTTGCAAAAGTTGTAATTAGTAGTCATTCTACTGTTTTGTTAAAACTCAGTTTGGCAGGGTTGTTGCCACACAATTTTGGAATCTTTTTGATGATATATAGATTACACCAATTCATAAAAAAAAATTATATAATATATATTTGAAATGATAAAAGTTGGATTAATTGGTTTGGTCGAGTTTGAATCATTGAATAACTTTAAAATACATTATATTTTAGTCACTAAGATATAAAATAATAGCATAATATATATTATGCCAGAGAAAATAGCTTGTTTTAGAATGGCAAACCAATGATGTTCATTTGTTTTACTTGATGGTCAAATCTCGTGCAGGTCAGGCCCATTCAACTCTTTTATTTTATGGTTAGCGGTTAGCGCATTAGATACCATGCATTAGTTTATTGTTAAATTTTTTATTTTTAGCAATAAAAAGGAGTACTGTTTTTGCCTTTTCATATATATTTTATCACCACGGAGAAATAAAAGGGTTTAAAGAAAAAAATTGATACTCCTGGACCCGTTTAAATCGGCATGTGTACGGTAAGTTGGCCCGTTCCACAGAGGAAAGAAAAAAAAATTGGCACTCCCTATTCTACCCTTCCTACAACGCTCCTGGAGCAGGGAATTTGAAATGGGGAAGGGTTTTTGCGTCCCTGCTATTATATGTTTTTAATTTAAAAAGATACAACAAATGTACTTAGTGTGATTGGTTATGATCTTTGATTTTCTTTAAAATGGTCATGGTTTGAATCCAATACGTGTCTTTTTAATGAATAAAAAAAGTAATTGTGAAGACCAAAATGTCCTTCCTACTTTCACTCTCGTTGCAGGAAATTTGAAATGGGCTCCCGTTTTTCCCTTCGGCGTATTACATTATGTGTAGATAATAATTTCAAGCTGCCGAAAGAATCACTTCTTTGTAAACTTCGGAAGGTATTACGCCAAATTAAATTAGTACCCGTTAACCTAAATATTCAATTTTAGTTTGTAGTTGAGCTAAGTAAAGAGTTTGAGCATTTTATTCAAATGCATGTGAATGTGATGCCCCAAACCACTAGAAGGAAAGAAGTGGACACCAGACTATTCTTTCTTTAATTTGCAGGCCAGACCTGAGGTTTCCTAATATTCCCATTATACAGACTTCATCGTTGGCCACGAAGGGCTATTATTCTAACGATAATACCTTTGGCCCTTAATTTCCAAATGAATAAAAGGAAAGAATGACACGAACCAGAAAGAGTCATCCTCCTCTATAAATTGCGATTTTCTCCACAGAACCTCAAACACATATTCAGAGAGAAAAACAAAAGAAGAATAAAAGGAAACTGAGACCATGGAGCGAGCAACATTATTATCATCATTGGCTACATTCTTTACCACAATGATGTTCACATTTGCCACGATGGCCACCGTGCTGGAAGGCTACGGCGCCAGCACCAAGTATTGCAAAGGTGGCGTGGTAACCGAGTACGACGTGGCAACCTACTCAGCCTACGTGGCTCACGTGGTGTCCGAGCTGGCTACGGTTACGCCCACCAAACCAGGGTTTCAGTACGGGACAGTGTTCCCCAACGACAACCCTGGTTCCGTCCAGGGTTCTGCGGTCTGCGACGGCACCAAGGATGCCAGCCGTTGCACAACCTGCCTCTCCGGTCTCCAACAGTTGCTTGTCGACTCTTGCAGCCGGTACGAGGGCGGCGGGGCTAAAGGCGGCGTGGTTTGCGGCATGGCGTTTGGCATAGTTCACTGAAACATGCGAGGCCGGCCGCCCGCCGCCGGTCACTCTTTCCTTTAATTTTCTGCTTGCTTATTTGTGTCTATTTATGTACTTAATTCCCTTCCCCCCCTCGATCTCACTTGTTGAAACTCGTTGTTGCTGGGTGGAATGGAAAGGTGTAGAATCTTTATTGCAATTGGTTGTAACTCACAATAACACAAAAGTATATACTAGTTGACTTGTACTAAGGGGTCGATTGGAAGTTGCGATTGTTAAATAGATGTATTGTTGAGAATGCATGTATAATATTATACATGTATTGTCGAATTTGATACATTGTAGAATACAACGTTTGGTATGTGTGATTGTGTATGTCGCTTCAGCTAAAAGCTGAGACAAAACAATCTCAACTCAACTATCTCAACAATCACAACTAAGGGGTCGTTTGGAAGTTGCGTATATTAAATCGTTGTGTTGTTATGAATCACTATCATATAAATGCATGCATTGATACAATAGATGCATTTTGAAATTACATTGTTTGGTTGTTGAGATTATAATTTATGAATTGATTGTTATAAAGTTACTTTATAGGAAATATAATATTTGTCCTCCACTTTTAATATAAAACAAAAAGAACTATGGACATAATTGGAAAAAAGTAAAGGTGCTCAATTATTAAACCAACAATCACAACAATCTCAACTTTTAGTTGAGATTGTACAATCCCTCATTTTTGTTGATTGTTGGTGGGACCCACACAAAACAATACATGCATTGTTTTGCAACTTGACACTTCCAAACGTTGTATTGTGGACAATGCATGTATTTAACAAATACAACACTAACAATCGCAACTTCCAAACGACCCATAAAAGTTGAGATATAACAATCACTCAAAATGAGTGATAGTTTCTGTTACATCACAGAAACAATCCATGTATTGTTTCTGCTAAAAAACAAAAAAACGATGCATTGTAAACAATACATGCATAATGACAATCTCAACAAAACAATCGCAACTTCCAAACGATCCTAAGTTTCAGATCCATAACTCTACTTAATTGACGGACCCACGTGGCCACGTCTGAGTGTGGAGATCAGTATGTGGTTTGGTATTTAGGATTGCTATTTTTTTTCACTTGCTAATGCTAGTGAAGGAGGTATGCAGATGAAAGGGAAATTTCAATTTCAGATTCCAACAGCCAGACCGAATTTTCATTGGCTCGGCTCTAATTATGACTACGCGTGGTAAGGATAAATGACAGAAATATTGTTTTTTTTTTTAATTTACCACGAATATGGCCAATTAAAAACTATTTACAGAGATATTGTGGTTTTTAGTAAGGATTGGGGCGGGACCACCTGAGACTCAGGCGGGACTAAATTTTTACCCAGTCCTGGGAGCCGGTGCCCCAGTCTCAAGCGGCCCCGCCTTAGACAAATTTTTTTAATTAGTCTGAGGCGCTGGCGCCCGAGACTCAGGCGGGAGCTCCCCGGACTATTTTTTTTTTAAATTTTGGACGGCCCCCTCCCACCTTATCCCCTCCCCACCACCACACATATCCTCCCTTCTTCTTCCTCCCCACAACCCCGAACCAGCAGACCCAACCTCCTCCTCCCTCCTTCTTCTTCCTCCACCCCAACCCCGAACCGCCGCCCGTCGCCCGCAGCACCGCCCCAGACTCAGGCGCCGCCGCCGCAGAGAGGAGCGCCGCCGCCGCCCGAGATGTCCTCCGACGAAGAACCAGTCGCCGCCGGCAGAGGCAGAGGTAGAGGTCGGCGAGGTCGTGGTGGAGCCGGCGGCCGTTTGCGCGGTGAGACTCTCGTCGGCAACTTGATTTTTTTTTAATGTTTTGTTGCTTTGGTTTTGCAGTTCCGAGGCTTATGGATCCTTATTCGATGAGATTACCGCCGGCGACAATTGATCCAAGTCCGGTCGATCCGACACTTCTTTGGGGACACGGCCAACATCGTATCGACTCTGTTTGGACAAACGAGGTAAGTATTTGATAATTATTCATGTAAAGTTAATTAGCTAATTAGATTATTTTAGGTAGTGAACTGAACTGAACTGTTAGGTGAAATTAGTATAATTTTATGTTAGATAAGACAGATTAGAATTTATTAGGTGAAATTAGAATTATTACGAATGAAAATGAATTAATATAAGTTTTGTGCACTATAGGCTGGTGATCGACCGTACCATGTTCGAGGTACGACCATTTTAGTACCTTACCATGAGCTTTATCGGCCATATCTCGAAGCGGCAGGCTTGTTTAGTGTCGTGCCCCTAGTCCCTATGAACCCCGATGCTAGTTTGATTACTGCGCTCGTAGAGCGGTGGCGCCCCGAGACGTAGACCTTCCATCTATCGTGTGGTGAGATGACGATCACGTTAGAGGACGTTGTTACACTGTCCGGTCTGGCGATCGACGGTGATGCCGTCGTAGTTGATATACCGGATGAGGAGTGGTCGGCGATCTCTTTGAGACTGTTGGGACGAGTTCTGGCCGATCTTGTAGGCAGTGTCGCTGTTGTTAGGATTGTTTGGCTGAGGGTTGAATTCAGTCATCTGCCGGAGAATGCATCACAGGAGGTTATAGAGCAGTTTGCACGAGCTTATGCTCTATCTCTGCTTGGAGGTGTACTTTTCTCGGACCGGTCTGGTAGTACGGTGCACCTACAATACCTACTTTTCTCCGGCTAACAAAATAAACCACAACACGTGTTAGATAAATTCATGACAAAATTACATGAAAACAAATAACAAAATTAAATGAAGAAAGCTTACCGACTCGAAATAGTTGATTATACATAATTTTGCTTCGAGTCTTCCTTTGCAAATTGCTTGCATAGTGTCGCATGCACCACCTCCACTCCCAACCTCTTCCGATGTTATTCATGGCTTCATAGAGTCCTGCATGTCTATCTGAGATGATGCATACATCATTTCGATCAGTCAAACCCTGAACCTTCCTCATGAACCATGGCCAACTCTCAGTATTCTCGCTCTCCACTATGGCAAATGCAATTGGAAAAATCTTCCTCCGGCCATCAAATGAGCTCGCCATGAGTAGCACTCCTTTATACTTCCCAGTAAGAAATGTTCCATCCACAACCATGACGCCTGGAAAATTCTTGAATCCATCTATACAAGGTCCATAAGCCCAGAATACTCGCTGAAATATTAAATGACCAGGTTGAGTCGAAGGAACTGTTACCCAATCAATCACCGATGTTGGCATTTTTCTCTTGACCACTCGCAAGAATGTTTGCAAAAAATCGTAGGATTCTTCCCAATTTCCATGCAACTTCTCCAATGCTCTTTGTTTCCCATACCAAGCCTTCTTGTAAGTAACTTGCATATTAAACTTATCTTTCAACTCGGCTTGAACAGTTAGAACACTCAGATTTGGTTGGGCACGTACCAAATGTTTGACGGCCTCAGATATCATGTCGACATCAAGATGGCGATGATCCGTCGGTTGAGTCGTACTGCTACAAGAATGCACCAACTCAGCTTTTCTCACAGTCCATTCGCCCCCAACATCTCGACATCCAAACCGCACCATCCAAGGACAATTGTCATCCTTGTGCCTCAAGCATCTGACCTTCCATATTGAAGGTGACGACTCCACCACGCCATATTGAAAGTTGCGTTGTAGTGCATGGTGTTTAATCGCCATCTGTGCAGCTTGTTTCGAGTGAAATATATGCCCCTTGTAGAATTCTCCTTCAAAACTATCAACAATAGGCATTGGAATTACGCCATATGAATCAGCAAGTGCAAATTCTTCGTCCTCTTCATTGCCCTGCAAGTAAAAATATGGAGGATAATTAAGCTGCTCTCCTTCCTCCTCCTCCTCCTCATCTTCCTCCTCTCCGTCATCACCGTGATCATAGTCATGATCGGATGGCACGCTCCATGTATCATCTTCTTCCTCTCCACCCTGATCATCACTGAGCTCAACATGTATCTCAGCACCCAAACAATAAGGATTTTGTGCCATAAAATTCCAAAGCACATCCAAGCTATCATCATCCACAATAGGTAACGCATAATGAAATAAAACATCATTCTGCCATTTTGGAAGACGGTAAGTGAAACCTGTGATCACATCACTATCTTTTACTGCTTCGTCTCTGCGCCGTATTCTCGGAATTAGAGTCTCACAAAGTTTGTGATATATGACTCTGGATGGAACCGTCAACTGAAAACTACTACCACCAACGAATTTGACGCCCAAATTATCCTCTTATTTCTCCGATTTCCACCGAACAACTAGTTCAAATCTTCTAAAATCACTACAAAAAAACAAACTCGCTAATTAAAAACTAAACACAATCATAATAGCATTTGAATAATATAATTACAAAAATAAATGTGTCTCTTACCTATTAGCCATTTTTGCAGCAGCAACCAGAGCTCTCTCCTCTATTTTGGAAGATTTTTTTTGTGGTGTGAATCTGAAACGAAAAGTCTGTCTGGTTTTATAGGGTGGGTGGCCAATCCACCTACTCGCCTCAGTCTCGGGCGCCACCGCCGGAGTCTTTATTTCCCACCTACTCGCTTCAGTCTCGGGCGCCGCCGCCTGAGTCTCGGGCGCCACCGCCTGAGTCTAATAAAACGGTCCAAAAACCAAGTCTTAAGCGGCAGCGCCTGAGTCTCAGGTGTACCCGCCGATTCTTATCTCTAAAACACAATATCTTTGTCAATAGTTTTTAATTGGCCATATTCGTGGTAAATTAAAAAAAAACAATATTTCTGTCATTAACCCGCGTGGTAATAGCTATGTAGACGAAGCAAATTTATAAAAAGTTAGGAACCCATAATATTGCAGAGACAACAATCACTATACCGCCTCGCTCACCATGTTACTCACCGTAATTTCTCTCCATATCCACGAATGCATCATGCACCTAACCAGGAAACCTCTAAATTGATGCATGACCGGTCCTGAGATTTTGGAGGCCTTGTTCTATAAATAAAATGTGGTCCAAATTATTTTTTTCAAAATATATAATAAAAT